AAGGCCCAGAGAGATTATGTGACTTGCCCAAAGTCACATAGGTAATAAGCATCAGAGGTAAGTTTTTAACTCAGGTCCTCTGACAAATCAGCATAAATATGTGTGCATATTACAACGCAATGATGTGGAAAAGGAGATAGATAGATAGATAGATAGATAGATAGATAGATAGATAGATAGATAGATAGATGCATATATGTGTGTATGTGTGTATTTGTTGCCCCTCCCCAAGTCCACCCCCTTCCATGTCATTTCAGAATGTGAAGCAAAGCCATATGTGTAGTATGGCCATGTTCTTCTGGGCATATTCAAAGCTTCAGAATTTATAATGGCATTAAACTCAGTCCTAAGGGCCCACCAGTAGGTCAGAGAGTCAAAGCCAGTTGCTGTGTACTTTTATAATGTAATATCTAACCCTGCACCACAATGAAATAGACATGATCGTCAGAGAAGCGGTGCGATACAGTGGAAAGAGCACTAGCTGTTCCTTAGAGTCAGAGGACCTGGATTCAAATCCAGCCTCTCCTGCTCATTACCTGTGTGCCTTTAGGCAAGTTCCTTAACCATCCTGGGCCTCAGTTTCTTCATCTATAAAATGAGGGGATTAAAATATATGACCGTTGAAGTCCCTTTCAGCTCTAAATCTATGATCCTATGGTCATTTCATCATCGTCATCACCATGAAAAGTACGTAATCAAATAATGGCATGTTCCTCTGCGAGATGGACTCTGACCTAGCTTTCCATGATTATTACACGTTATTGCCCTTCATATACTCTTTGGCCCAGCCCAACCGTCCTTCCAAGTGACATTCAATCTCTTCTCGGTGTTTTTGCATGGGCTAGGCCACACGATCATTATGCTGTCCTTCCTCGTTTTCACCTTTTAGAATCCCTGTCCTCCTTCCAAACCTAGTTCAAGCACCATCTGGCACATGAGACCTTCCCTAATCTCCCCAGATGCTAGGGCCTCCCCGATGAGACAATTTCCTATAGACTTCTGTGTGGACTTTTTCTTTTCCCCAGTAGAATGTAAAGTCTCTGAGGGCAGTTGCTTTCATTTTTGCCTTTGTATTCTCAGCAACTAGCACATTGTAGGAACTTAATAAATGCAGAATGCTTAGTTGTTTGATTGAAGGAGTGATGTGGAACCCTCAGCCATAATCATTACTTTTCCTAGTCTGATAAGATAACAGATTTTTAAAATGTAATGTATTTATTTTATGGTTTTCACAAGCTGTAGCTTTAGTACATCCAGATTTTCATAGCCCATCAAACATTTTGCAGTGTGTGTTGTGGCAGGATAGTCTAGAACTGCCAAGAGAAGTAAATTCATATAGCTGCCTGCAATGCACTGACTGTAGCAAATCAGTGTAAGTAACATGTTTTGAGAAGGAATGACTTTTACAAGGTAAACAGAAAAATACTTTGGTTTTGCATTTATATTATTAACAGATGTCCAACTAGTATATGACTTTATCATAAATGTTTGAGGCACATATCAGACTATGTAAAAGATGCTACTTATTCTAGGAGATATTATAATACTCTTTGCTAAAATGGAATTGGTTATCACCTTTAAACTAACTTGAAACTAACAATGGCTAGCGAGTCTATCTTTCCTAGTCTAGGTTTTTATAGTGAATATAGGGAGGTACTGTGGGTTAGTAAAAAGAGCATTGTCGTTATAGGACCTCGGTTTGGAATCCTGGCTCTGCCATTTACTCCCTGTGTGACTTTAGCAAAGTGGTTTAATCTCTCTGAGCCTCAGTTTCCCCATGTATAAGTTGAGGAGTTGGGACTAGATAACCTCAAAGGTCCCATCCTTCTCTAAACCCATGATCTTATGATCCAAGTAAACCTCTCCTACTCTGATAGCTTATCATAACTTGGAGGAGACTTTGGATTCTCAAAAGTTATGCCAGGGAGGACAAGCTTGGATGGGTCCTACCAGTGCGGAACCACATAAGGTCCACTTAATGGAACCCTACAAAGACCAGTCCAGCTAAGTTAGAAGTTCCTCATCAAGTGTAGTCAGTGGGTGAATTCTTCCCCCACAGCTAACTTTCCAAACTCATCTACCAAGTTGTATATATAGTCTTTGCTATCAGTGATGGGAATATACACACTGATGAAATCACAAACCTTTGAAACATATCAAATAGAAAGTTTTGATTCATATCCTGTCTTTTAAAACCCTATATAAATGTTGTGCATTAAGACCTTCCATGCAAATGGGCTGGTTCAAATGGACATGAAAAACTACCCTAGACTAAGTTGTTTTCTTCCATGCTGACTGTGAGGTTCAAGAAAACAATGTCCTGTGCATGTACCCTAAAAACCATAAGCAGTGGGTCATTTAGAAGGAACTAGGCCATGGGATAAAATCCCTCAAAATTTACTGAGGAGTTTTCAGTAGCAAAGATGTTATTTTGTTCCTAGCACCGCAATATAAAATTGTCTTTGACTGATATACACATGAAAATGAGAATTTTTAACTATCTGGTTTGTTTATATTGTATGGCTACCTAGACAATCATTTCAGCCAAAGCCCCAACCTAAAAAACCAAAAGGCACCAAAAATTGTAAATTTGTGTTTAACCAAGTAATTACATCTGCAGTGGAATCATGCAGCAGTAGAAAAATTGTACATGTATCATTATTATTTGGCATAAATTCATAGATGGTAATTTGTTTGGGGACATTTATCTTTGTATTGCCTCCAACAAGTACCTAGCTGAAGTTCATTCCGTGCACATAGTCAAACAATTAACAGTACCTAATGTGCCATGCACTGTACTAAGCACTGGTAAGAAACAGAAAGACAAGAGATAAGCCTTGCCATTGAGGAGCTCACAATCTAATATGGAGGCAACAACATGCAGACAACTGTGTACTCTAATATGGAGGAGACAGCATGCAGACAACTATGTATAAACAAACTTGATGTAGGATAGATATGAAATAATAGAGGGAAGGTATTAGAATTAAGAAGGATTGGGAAAGAATTCCTGTAGAAGGTGAGATTTTAGCTGGGACACAGTAAATGACTAAAAACTGTCCCTTAAATGAATCAACAGGTGAAATAGGAAGTGATCAGAATAATTTTTCTTGACTGCTCTGATATAGATTGAATCAAATCAGTTCTCTCTTTCAATTATAATCTCCCAGAGGACAGGGACCATTTATTCTGTCTTTTTTTTTTTTAATCTTCCTGGAGCTCCTATTACAGTGTGAACTAACTATATATTGATTGTCTTTTATCATTCAGATAGCTTCCATTTAGTGTTAGCCATTTCGTCCATTCCATTTTATGGAGCAGTATTGAAAAGGAGAATAGTTTAGATTTATAACAATGGCTCTCAAAATATGATCAGAAGACCCCTAGAGGTCCTTCAAGATCTTTTCAAAGGGTCTTTGAGGTCAAAACTATTTTCATAGTAATACTAAGATATTTGACTATTAAAATACTCCTCCCTTTTCCAACTGCATCTGTGTGTGGCGCTGTATTTTCTTCATAAGCTTTGACCAAAACAGCATCACACCAGATTGACTGCAGAAGCTGATATGATAATCCAGCTGACTTTTATCAAGCCAGACTTTAAAGAGATTTGCAAAAATATGTAAAACAATGCCACTTTTATCACTATTTTTTATTTTGGAAAATACCATTTTTCATAAAAAGAAATTGATATTAATATGTAATGGATTTTAATGAATTAATTTTAAGATGAATAATTATTTTAAAAATGAATATATTTTCAAAATTTTGTGTATTTAAATTACTAATACAGTAAATATCAATAGATGTGGTCCATATAAAGAAAAAGTCCTCAATAATTTTTAAGATTGTAAAGGGATTCTGAGACCAGAAAGTTTGAGAACCTGGTAACAATTTTCAGGAAAGAATAGAGATTAACAACCTAAGTCTCAAGGAGGAATCAAGAAAAAACAGTGGTGACCAGCCACCAGCTCCAATCAGATCTGATCTTCCAAGGTATCCCTAGGACTAAATGGATTACCATTTCCAAACCCTGGGCATTGGCTTTACTGAGTGTTGGAACTTCTCACTCCATTGTGCAGACTTTTCTGGAGCTATCAGATCTGCCTACCAATACTCATGTATATTTTTCACAAGCTTCACCATTTCCATTTGACTCGTCTCTTCCTGAGAAATGTTGAGATTCACCTTTCTGAACCTTCAGCTAAAGTTCCTTTCATTTGCATTTCAAGGACAGCGTGAACATGAGACATGGAGCCTAGTGGTCCAGTTCTGAATACTCACTCTGTTTACTGACTAGCTCGTGACCTTGGGCAAGTGTTTTCATCCCTCATCTTTAAAATGAAAGGATTAGACTGGCTGATCACTGTTCCCTTCCAACTCCAGCATTATAGGAGCAGGTGCTTGAGCAGTTTGCTGATCTGAACAATTGGGTTTGCTGCTGTCTGATGTCTGATGTGAGGGACCCCACTTGGGTTATGAAGTACTGTGCATTTGTGTACCATGGACCCCATTCTAGCACTGGCCATACCTACTATTCTCTTATTTTGCCCTTTCTTCCTAAAGAAAAAGGAAATAGAACCAGGGAAAATGGCTCTCATACTTATAATGACTACAAAAATGTAAATAGGAAAAAGCCCAGTTGCATGGAACTGAATGTTCTATAATTATACCAAACTTGGCCTTATAGAAAGGTTGAGAAGGAACTTTGTATAACTAGCAAATGAGGTTGATGTATTGATTAGTTTTCCTAAACTGATTTTCCCATTACTTTTTTTTATACTTTGTTATGAAGGATGGCTTTCTGGATAGGGAAGGAGCAGGGACATATTCTGAAATCAAACTGCTGTAAAACAAAAGATATCAGTACTTTTAAAAATAAATCAAAGGAATTGGACATATAAATTTACTTTAGTTACTAGGCAAAGCTTCATTCAGTAGGCATACATATGTTGTCATACTCTGGATACTCACCTGAAAATATTGGTCTCCTCTGACAGATAAAGTATACGCATAATTTTCGTCTAGTAAATTACATACTTGCAACCTCACTGGCATCAGAACGAGTATCCCACCTACAGTTACCCTCCAGATTCCGGTAGCAGTTTGGAAGAGAGCCAGTACCCTGTCTGTCCTTGATGTCATCTGGTAAGTGAGAATAGCATGAATCATATTAGATTTCACTAATGAATTACCAGCCAAAGCCCTAAAACAAATATGTACCATTTGCCTCATGCCAACTATTTCCCCTTTCTGCCAGTTTCTAACACTGTGTTACTTTGCCTTTGATCTGTGTTGACACCTGTTATTTAAAAACCCCAAACCCAGCCCACTGATGTTACTCTGCTTTGCAGATAAAAGTAAAGGTCCATTTGTGACACATCAAACAGAATTAGGGGAATGTGGGATGTGTGCTGCTTAGTGTTGCCTAGCAATATGTTTAGGGCACGGGAATCACAGAGAGGATGAAATTCACACCCACAGGGAAATTATATTATTCATAAACACACAGACACACATGCTGAAATCACTGGTAGAAAATATATGAAATATGACTGCAGAATTATAGTTAACAAGAGAGTTTGATGCTTGAAATAAAATGGAATATCCTTCAGAGTGCTACTGTTAGGGGCAAATAATCTATGTAATTGGTTGTCTCTCTCTTTTAAAGTTTACATGTAGAAGTATTGCTGTCACTCGGAGGAAGAAGTATTTCATGCCCACACATCGAGTTTACATTCATAGATCTGAGCTTTGTCTATATGTTTACAAGGGCACAATTTAGAAATGAATAAACTTGTCCATGTCATTGTGAGTAGTAGGCTCAAAACTGAAATCAATCCAGTCCTTCTTGTCAGCTTTATTTCCACCTTTTATTTTGGAATGTTGGCATCAGTCTTCCAATCTGAGTGTCAGCAACATGGACTGAGTGCAGAATTTCCTCTAAGATAACCAGGTGCAAGCCATGCCCTGCAAGATTTCAGATAATCCTTGACAAATCTCCTGTTCTTCTCTCATAGATGATCCTGGACTATTTCTGGAAATTCTTGTAAGTGCCACCACTGAGCGCTTCATCTGGGCAATTTCTGAAAGGTGGGAACTTTTCAAGTAGGGACAGGAAAGAGATCTGGGGCTAGAAAAAGAAGGATCTTGTCCAGGACTAACAGAAGATACCTCTTCTCCCCACATTACCTTGACACTCCAGGCAGAGCAGGAAGATGTGGGCATGAGGGTGAGTGAGAACTATGGGTGGAAGGGATGTAAGCAGATTTAAAATGAATTCTGTGACTAGAGGTAAAAGCCACTGTGGAGGCGAGGTTTATGCATGATTGGGAAGGAGAGAAGATCAAAGAACAAAGAACTCAATCCATCTAGTTTCTTGGAGAATGGGAAAAGGCATGGTCAACCTCATGGTTAGCCATTAAGGCAAGATTTCAATGTAAAGAAACATCTTTACTCCCGTTGCTTCTATCCTCCTGGAATTCTTCTCCTACGTCTTGCTAGTTCCTTTCCCCACCAGTAGTACCAGGCACCCATCCCCTTCATATCCATCTCCTAGTTTCTATCAAATCCCAGGCTCTCCAGGTCTCATCTATACCCTTCCATGAAGAGGAACACTTCCTGCTGCAATTGCCAAGGGACTGCCATGCTCTAAGCAGAATTCTAGCACTTCGATAGATGTCCTATCCTAGATCCTAAAACACTAAGAACGTGAGAAGCAAAGCCGGAAGCTGAGGGAACTACAGGACAGAGTCACAGAGGATAAATAGCGAGCCAGGGTGACATGGAACAACCACTCTCTAGTGGGAGAGGTAAGAGAGAGAGTAAATCCTAGCCTCTTTCTTGGCTGGAGCCCTACCCAGGCCCTTACTATGAAGTCACAGAGACTGTACAAATCTCTAGGGTGAAGAGCAGCCCCAGTGGAGGAGGTTTAAATATGGTTTCTGAAGGGTTTAACTGTGGGTCCTTCTTATAGCCATTAAATTTAAATTAAACTATTATGTTTGGAAAATGTCTTTGTACTGGCCGTCTCACCTGCCTAGAGTGCACTGACTCTTCACCTCCATGGCTTAGTTTCCCAGACTTCTTTCAAGAATAAGCTTAAATCTCACCTTCTACCAGGGGCCTGTCTTTGTCCTTCCTTCACCCACGTCCATCCCTGCTGCTGAGGCCTTCCCTTTTTCATTATTACCTTCGTATACTCTGTATGTCATGTACTTTGTATGTACTATCTATATACTTGCATGTAACTAGGTGTTTCCACTCTCTCTCCCCCATTAGCATGTACACCCCTTGAGGGCAGGGACTAATTTTTGAGGTCTCTTTTTGTTCCCCCACCCCCTCCCTGGGCCTGGCTCTTAGTAAGTATGACATAAATGCTTGCTGACTGGAGTCTTTTGAACCTTTGTGCTTTTAAAGAGAACTGGTGATTATCCTTGGCTTAGTGCCAGATTCTGACCTTCCCTGCTCATTCTTGGGACACTGAGCTAAGAAAGGAGAGGTCTTCAAAGAGTACACAGCTCCTTCCTGTCCAGGGAGGCCTGTAACATACGAGATGCAAATACTCACACTGCCCACCTCATGGGGTTGTTATGGAGTCAAACCAGAAATATTTTGCCTTGAAATACTTATATACCAAACTGTAAGGCATAGCGTCTCGAATTAGGGAGGAAATAACACCTCTCTACTGTTCTGCTCAACTCCAAAGGGTAGAGGAAGATTTCAACCTGATACAAGAAAAAAACTGCCATAGTGAGAGCTGTCCCCAAATGGAATGGATTGCTTTAGATCCTCATGAATTTCCCATCATTTCAATCAAAGGCTGGATCATGACTAGTCCTTTTCAGGCGTGAGTTGGACTGATGTCCCTTCCAACCCTGACAGGCTGTGCAATGTCTGTTGCTATTATTACAACTTTAAAAAAAAATTAAAGGGAACATGGGTCCAAACTAAAAGTGACTACTTATTACTATGACTGAAAAAAGAATTAATGAAAAGGGAACAAGGATATGACACCTTGTAATTTCGCTTCTTTTGGAAAGACCCTGAGTATATTACTGTAATTGTCTTCATAGAGAGGTCAGCAATCAGAGTCCTCTTCTGTAAACCGAAGCTGTTGGTCTAAGGGGACTCTGAGGTCCTGGCTAGTGCTAAAATTCTATAATTCTGCAGGGCAGGACTCAAGAAGTACAAAGTGAGTATAAGAGAAGGGGTATTCATCGGGCAAAGAATGAAAAATAATTTCAAGCATGTCAGGAAAAAATTATATTTATTTTATTCTAACCAAGAAACTAGGCTAGAACTATTTTAAGGGGAAAAAATCCATTCCTAACACCCACCCTTTTGTTTCTAAAATCTGGCCAGTTATTTTGTCCCATTAACCCTGCTCCCCCCTTTTTTAACAAAATTAAATTATAATTAGTCTTTGCTTACTGCTGCTAACATGATTTATTTTTCAAAAAAGTAGTTAGCCGGTGCTTTTCTTGGCTTTTTCAAAGTTCTCTCTTCCTTGTATATTTTCACTTTTCACTTAAGCAATCTGTATTCCACCTGGTGTTGTAATAGTTTTGCTCTGAGAGGGATAGATAACTAATCCTCTTTCAATTTTACTCCGTGGAGTTTGTGCCTCCATGCTGAAGCCCAGGGCTTTCTCCAAATATTGTAAAAGCTGAGGATGCAAAATGAAGTTTAATTGTTAGATGTGGTCAGAGTACGGTGGCAACATCACCTTCCTCATTCTGAACACTAGGCTTTAATTAATACATTCTGAAATCTGAAAAGCAATCAGACTTGGGGGTGGGGTGCGGGTGGGGTCAGGGGGTGCAAGGGTAAAGCCTTTCTTTTTTGCACAGTGCTTAGCACAGTGCTTGGCATATGGCTGGTGCTGAATAAATGCTTCTTGACTGACTCTGTAATGTACAGAGAGACAGCTTTGGAGTCAGCAAAACCTCAGTTCAAACCCTTCCTCTGACAATGGTTTCAATATTTTTCAGGAAAACTGGGGAAGGGTTCTAGATGGAGAGGGTGACAGTATTTTTCATACATAAGGACAAAGTCTCCAAAAGCCAAGGAAAGAAGGATTGCTTAAATGCAGCAGCAGTGACTTTCCTATCAAGCTATTACTACAGACAGATGCAATAAAGGAGTCAAACTGTACTTGAGGAGGCTTTCTCCTGTTACTTCTGATTAAGTGTTCTCCCCTCTAACAGTAGTATCATACTAGTCAAAGGGGAGACAAAGAGTTTGAAGGCCATGTCCCTTCTTTATCAAGTTTTATGAATATATGAATGCCAGAGAGGGTGAAATAGTGGAAATTTTAACTGATCCATACACAATTCTGCAAAGGAACACAAGCGGATTTTTAAAAGTAATTGCTGTGATTAAGCTCTAATATAAGGTTGCAGTCCTATTTCCACTGGACAGTAGTTGCCCACACCAATCCTATCATTGTAAGGCTAACTCACTGGGTACCCCAGAGATGTGAGATCAAACAGTGCAAGTGGTTTCACAGCTATTGTCTTCATAATATTAGACTGAACTACTTCGGGCCTCCTCAAAGGATAAAAAAACCAAACCCAAGACTTTGCAAATATGACACAACATAATTTTGAAATGAGGTGTATTCTCCAACATCTCAGAAAATATTCCCAAGATCTGAAAGAGGGAATGAGTATTTTTTTCCTGGGGTCAAGGGCCAGAGACTTACATCCTACTTCTAGAAAAAAAAAATCTAATCTCTACTGCAGTTGTATAGATTGCATTATGGGTGCAAATGGAATTTTGCATACTCCTCAAAAGTTACTTGGGGGTTGCAACACTCCCCAGCCTCTCCTTCTGACACTTCAGAGCATGCCTCTGAAATACGTGGGCACATGCACAGCCAGAAGTTGACAGATGTTTGAGCAATCATTCACACTCTTCGTAAGCCTTCTTCAAAGATAGAATATAAGAAGGCAGAAAAGGAGTTGGGTTGGGCTGGGTTTTTAAAATTTGTTAGTGGAGGGGGGCAGAGTTTCCTTCATAACTTCAGAATACACAGCAGAATTAGGAAGAACATTCCAACCCAATCTATCAGGATGGTGGGGTTAAAAGATGAAGCATATTGTTGAGAATGTAACTTTAGTGGTCTTCCCTGCCTACGTTATCCATTGAAAAGTAATGTTCCCACAAAGATCTTTCTTTGCTATATTTGAAAATTTATTAACTTTTTCATTCATTAAAATATTGACTCCCCCCCCCCAGTTTCTACCGTTAGAAGTAGCTAGACTGTGCAGTGGATAAAGCACTGGGCCTGGAGTCAGGAAGATCTGAGTTCATTTCCAGCTTTGCACACTTAATAGGTGTGTGACTCTGGAAAAGTCACTTAACCTCTGTTTGTTTCAGTTTTCTCATACGTAAAATAGAGATCATAATAGCACTCACCTCCCAGGGCTTGTTACAGCATCAAATGAGATAATTTCGAAGTGCTTAACACAGTGTTTGACACATAGTAGGTACTATATAAATGCTAGCTATTATCATTATCATTGTTAATGCACTGAAAACTGTTATTATTACTCTCATTTTATAGATGAGGAAACTAAAATGTTAAGTTTAACAATTCGCTCAAGTTCGGTCAGTGATAAATCCTCAGAACTCAAAAGTTCTTGGCAGTGGTTCAGAAAATCTTGCAACTTTCCAAACTACCTTAAAATTTGACCTTCACGAGTTCTGATGAGATTGAATTCAGCATATTTTATGTGTGTAAAAGACAACTCAGTAACTCCACATAATAATAATAGTTGATTTGTTGAATCAAAGCCCATAATAATTCATGTCCTCCTATATGTTCCTCCAAAAGGGAATTTTTCCTCATTTTTCATTGAGGATAATAAAATAGTTCCTGGGGAGACCTTAACATTACAGTATAATCATCTCTGATTTCTGTATAAAAATATGAATTTTTATCCTTTCAGTCTTGGTAAGGAAGTTGAATAGAAATGATTATGTTTGAAACATCTCATTTTATATTTATAGAAAGTTTAGCCTAAATGACAGATTGCTGGACAAGTTAAAATATAAGGTACTTTGAAAAGGGCATACTTTTCTTCCATTTTACTTATATTATGAAAAATCAATATACAACTCATACTTTTAAGTACTTTTTGTAACTTTATTGATTACAGAAAATAGTTTCTGTTCCCTTAAGGGACCATCTTAAAAGTTGTGCATCCTGGTAATTGTGTTTATTTTATTTTTAAAATCCAGTTGTACAAATCCAGGTGGAATTCAACGTGCTTGAGTGGGTGTGGGTAATTACTTTGTAAAATTCACGCATTTTCTTATAGACATTAACTGGAGAAACTGAATGTACAAAGATTCCCCAGTGTGCAATGAATTCTTGTGAATCCCTTGAAAAGTTGATTAATCTGGAAACAAAGTAGGTGGGCAGTTGAGGAATGACTGAACAATCTATGATATATGTGTGTCATGGAATACTATTTTGCCCTAAGGAATTCAAAGAAACACGGGAGAACTTGTATGAACTCATGCAGATCAAAGACAGCAGAACCAGGAGAACAATTTTTACTATGACTATAATTATATAACGAAGACGACACAACAAGCATTTATTAAGTGACAACTATGCGCTAGGCACATAGTAGGGTAAGTGTTAAGACAACATTAAAAAACAACAGGATTCAGATCAAGTTCAGTGACCAATGTTGGTTCCAGAGGACTGATACTGGAACATACCCCTTTCTTCCTAGTAAAGATGTGGGAGATTAAAGATTCAGAATGTTACATACTCTGTCAAAGTCACTGTATTAGTTAAGACTGTTTTGCTTTTGCTTTTGCTTTTTATTTTTTAAATAAGGGAGAGTAGGGGGCAGCTAGGTGGCACAGTGGATAGAGCACTGGTCCTGGATTCAGGAGGACCTGAGTTCAAATCTGGCCTCAGACACATAAATGTACTAGCCGTGTGCTAGCTGTGTGACTCTGGGCAAGTCACTGAACCCCACTGCCTAGTCAAAAAAATAAATAAACAAGCAAATAAATAAATAGATAGATGGATAGATAAATAAATAAGGGAGAGTGCTATTGGAGGGATGAATATTAAAAAGGGATTACGTTGAAAAAAATGCATCAATAAAACTTTTTAAAAATAAAGATGTTGGATAATAAAACCAGCTAAGACACTTCATTATATTATGTTATACTACGGGCTTTTTTTTTCTTTTAAAAAAATTTCAAAACATTT